AGGTATGGTAATGGCGGCTTCAAGTAGTTTTATGAACATTTAATGGTGACTATCCTTACAGCATTGTGTTTTTGCATATTTAAAAGGGGGTGATGTTTGGGTCCTCTGACTTGCCTCAGATATTTGTGTTTTGAAAACTTTAAACATTTGTCACTATGTCCTTGAAGATTACAGTTGGAGTTAAGTCACTCTGACCCATTATCACTTTTTAAGTGGCTAATTACAGTTTGGTCTTGATCTCAGTCTAGAGTAACGCAATAACTACTTACATATTTATATGGCTGTCAGTTTACTCTTAGTATGAAACATAGCTGCCAGATCATCAAGAAGTTTTATACTATAACTCGTACATAGCCTTTGCAGGTGGGGAAAATTATTTAATAGCTTAAAAAATTAGCTTAGCTATTTAATAGCTAACAACCTAGCACACTATAAAAATGGCATGCAAGTGTTCCAAAAGGTCTAAGGCAGTCAATAATTCTAAAGCTCTATCCTGAATCAGTGGCAAGTCCTTGAGAGAGCAGATCTGAATCAGACTGTAACATTCCTAGAGTAGGATTTAACAGGATTGTCCACACAGGAATGTCTCCTGTGGACAGAGCAGTAGTTCCAGAGAAGCAAAGGAGCATTAGGACCAACATACACATTAAGATCTGTAGCTTATCAGTTGGACGTAAGAATAAAAAGAATTCACTGCATAAACATATTAGGCAGGAGATTTTTGCACGTCTATTTGCTGTGTCTTTTCTAAAACCTTCAATGCTGTGCTCTCTAGTTTGTTTTTTTTTTTTAATAAACATTTTCCCTGCCTTTTTTTTTTAACTTTTATCTGTAGTAAGGGCCATTTCAGGCTTGGTGATTAATAACATGAGGGCAAAGAGCGGCAGGGGCAGCATAAAACTCAAGTTTGCCATCAAACTGACTGATCAATATCAACCATGCTGAGCTCTGCATTGCCAGTGTTATGCTAACAGTAGCCAAGCTTTAAAGAGTTTAAAGCTAGCACTAACTGCAGCATGGACATATCATTGAGAAAATAAATAAATAAACTCTTCAATGGGAAAGGAACAATGTCACAGAGGAACGTGTGAACATCCTTGCCCATTTTCACCAGGGACTGAGGCAAGTTAGCCATTCCTCACTGTGCACTATAGTTCTCATATAAATACAGTAATATCAGGATGGGCATCAGTGATAAACTCACTAAACTGATGGCAGTGGGAGTTTTCTTGACTTTTAGCCTTTGAAAGGAAATTGGAACCACATCTCCTGGGGTCACTTTCCAAGGAAATAAGATTAAGTTTTTTGGTCTGTGCTTGAGATTGATAGAAAAAGTGGTAATTACAAATGGTGAAATACCACACTGGTTGGAAAAATAGCTATAGAGGTTTGTTTTAGCATGAGGAAGTGTATATTAAAGCAAAAATGTGTTTACTCTTTTTAGTACAAATAATACTATTAAAATTCATTCCTGAAAAAAAATGAAAACAAATCAAATGATTACTCCCTCAAGACTCTGTCTTCTGTTGTGAATTTTCTGATAGGACACGTCCATTTTTCAAGGATTCTTATTACTCCGATTTTTAGTCATTGAAGTGATCTCAGATTTTGAGGATGTAATTCACAAATATGTTTTATTCATCTGCTTGTTCCCACAGGCAAGTATTTGCCTTGGGAACTGCAGAGATTTGCTCTTACTCAGCATTCAGTCGCTCAGTTATGAATCTAAACATACTGACTGTTAACATTACTTTTTCAGGCATATTGGTTATCATGCCATCAGGATCGTGATCTTCAGCAACATTTTGTGGTATTACAATGAGGTAATATGGTGTTTTTCTTCTCAATGCATTTGTGTGTTTTAGCTTATATAATGCTTTTGCTCTTTAGTGCATTTGATTGCAAATGTCTGTACATTTCAAAAGATTTGCATGCTGACAAGTGGAATGCTATTCCTAAGTGTCTTATAACATTTTGCAGCCACATTTGTAAGGAAGCAGATTTGAGCGAGTATGCTGTAGTATCTGTCAGGCCCATTTCCCAATTATTTTTCATTCATTGGCAAAGCCTGGCAGAACACTTCTAAATGTATTAAAATTTGAAAGGTCTTATAGAAAACAGTAATCATACCCAGAAAAGACCAAATGATTCCTGGTAAAGAAGAGTTCTCACAGAGGTCAAATTATCTCCTCTTGTTGGCTGGCCAACTGGTCAGCCGGCCAGCATTGCTCAGAGTCAGCTCCAGCATGCACTGCCTTGTGTTTTGAAGACGAAGGGAAAACTAAGGATGCTTGGAGATGTGTTAGGAATTATTCCAACATGGTTTGGGAGGGTGGGGGAGTAAAGAGCATGACTACATTCATGGAGAGGGCTGGAGACATAAATCCTGTGGGCTGGTTGCCCCATCAGAGAAACAGAAGGTATTGGCACAGGGGAAGGAGGAGTAGAGGGGTCATGGCAAGTTTATTGCACTAAGGATGCTGGACACACAACACAGGTTCGTAGTTACCAGCTCTGTGCCTGACAGACTTTTTGACTTTGCTTTTTACTTCCATCTACATCATTTCACTTCTTTCTTTCTTTATCCAGTGGCTTTCAGAAGGCAAGAAATGGCATACACTGAAAAGACAAAGCAGAGTTTGTTTCTGAAGTATAGTTTAGTACATCACATAGTACAGTATAATTCACCGTTATGAAAATATTTTAAATGGAAATTATATTTGTAAAAAGCCGGGGGGTTGACTAACTGGGAAGATAGAAGCTGTCTCATGCCTCAAATTTGTGTTTTTTATGGTTCTCTGCCAATGCAACATGCAGCCTCCCCACTGCATCGAATGGTTCCTTGCATGACCCTGCCTAAGTACAGAACTGTATGTAGGAATGGAGCGGGTTCAAGAAGAGAGGTCTCTGTGTGTGAAACATGTCCCATGGGTATGGTTCCTTGCACGGGACTACTTATTCAATATAATAGTGCAAACCCTGCCCTCCTGAGTGCTGGCATCAGCCTCTTCCACGATCTCTGAGACAAAACCCTTTATCCATAAGAGGGCAGTGCCGTACATGGGCACGCACAGCCGCAGATTTTTACATCAAGTGTCTTGGGTTGAAAATTAACTACTGCTGCTCAGGAAGTAACATTTAAGCCACTCTCATCAGTGCTTGAGCTGGTATACTAGACAAGAGTATTAATATTTTACAGACTTTACATAAAACATTATCAAAGACCAACCCTGATGAAGGGCTAATGTTTTTATCCTGCTTCCCTGAACTTTCATCTCGCTTCTCTCCTGCACCACCTGTAACGCAGTGTCGCTGTTGTTGGAACAGTCACTGTACTTTCCTTAGGCAACAAGTGAGGTTTAGCCAACAATAATTATGTTGCTTACAAAACTATATTAAGCTGGAAAGCCTGGTGAATGATTTCTATTGAACCTCGATGAGATCTTTGGAAAAGCCAATGGCCAAAAGTGCAGTCTAACTGTGAGATGAACTTTTGTTCAGGTGCAACAGGCACGTCAAGGTTTTAAAGGGACTGGCGATTCTGCCTTCTTGTAGTGGTATAATACAGGAAAACAATGAGACGTGGGGATGTTTTTGCGTATCAGGTGTTTATACTCTTCTGTTTATGTTTCGAGACTCCCTAGGAAGCACAGAGAGACCAGACCTCCCTCTGGACCAAGTGAAACCACTCAGTTCATGCAGGAGGAGGGCTTGAGCTTCCACCTAGTGCCGCCAGGTCTAGCGGGACACATCGGGGACACGCAGGAGCGACGCGGGGACGCGGCCGCCCCGTGAGGGGGCCCGGGCCGCTCCATGGCGCCTCA